AGATAACAACAATGATCTAATACATATCGATTTTACAGAAGACAATGTTGAAAAAGCACTGCGCAATCTAAAACCATCTGTATCTATTGGACCGGATGGAATATGTGCCTACTTCTTAAAAAAGCTATCCACTGCCATAGCCAAACCTCTAAGCATAATCTTTGAAAAATCTTTCAGGACCAGCTCCTTGCCTAACCTATGGTCACAAGCCACAGTCATCCCCATCTTCAAAAAAGGAGACCCAAGCCTAGTTGAAAATTACAGACCAATCTCCTTATGCTGCGTCACCTGTAAAGTCATGGAATCAATTATTAACCAATCCATCATCCTCCACTTAGAGACAAACAACCTACTCTCCAATAAACAATTTGGTTTCAGAAAAAAACTATCCTGTAATCTGCAACTCTTACACTGCAAAAACATATGGACGACACAACTCGACCAGGGCAAAGCAATAGACGCAATCTACATAGACTTCTGTAAAGCCTTTGATTCAGTGGTACACGACAAACTACTCCTAAAAATAAAATCCTATGGTATCTCTGGACAACTGCATAACTGGATAGATGCATTCCTGGCAAACAGACAACAAATGGTCAAAATTGGGAGCGTCCTATCAAATTCTGTACCTGTCAATAGTGGTGTCCCCCAAGGCAGTGTTCTAGGACCAACTCTCTTCATACTCTACATAAATGACCTCTGTGATCATATTAAGAGCAATTGCGTTCTTTTCGCTGATGATGTAAAGCTGTTCAATACCACAGACAATACTGCTACCCTACAAAAAGATCTTGACTATGTATCAGAATGGTCAAACAAATGGCAACTTCAAATCTCAACAAATAAATGCTCTGTCTTACATATTGGCAAAAAAAATCAGAAAATAAAATACAAGCTGAATAGTCAAGATCTTGTTGATGACCCAAGCTCTGTAAAGGATCTTGGAATACTCACCTCTAATGATCTAAGTGCTAGAGCCCACTGCAACTACATAGCCAAAAAGGCATTAAGAGTTGTTAACCTAATCCTACGTAGCTTTTTCTCTGGTAATATCACACTACTAACCAGAGCATACAAAACATTTGCTAGACCAATACTCGAATACAGTTCATCAGTCTGGAACCCACATTACGTATGTGATATTAGCACAATTGAGAAAGTCCAGAAATATTTCACAAGAAGAGTTCTCCACTCCTCTACTCGTTGTAGAATACCTTATGCCACCAGACTTGAAATTCTAGAACTAGAAAACCTTGAATTACGCCGTCTTCGGTCTGACTTAAGCATGGTATATAAAATCATACATTGCAATGTCCTACCTGTCAATGAATACTTCAGCTTCAACCATAACAACACAAGAGCACACAATAGATACAAACTCAAAGTTAACCGCACCAAACTTGATTGCAGGAAATACGACTTCAGCAATAGAGTGGTCAATGTCTGGAATACTCTACCCGACTCTGTAGTTTCTTCCCCAAACCCCAAAAACTTTAACCTTAGACTGTCTACTATTGACCTCACCCCTTTCCTAAGAGGTCTGTAGGGGGCGTGCATAAGCGCACCAACGTGCCTACCGTCCCTGTCCTATTGTTTCTCTTATTCTTCTTTTATTTTTCTTATATGTACCCATTTCATGTATTCACAACTATGTATACACTTATACTTATTATCTTGTAAACAATTGACAAATCAAATAAATAAATAATAAATAAATAAATAGCTCCGGATCAATCTGGAGCTTTGTATTCAGCTACAGAGGCCTTCAGGAAAGCCTTAGTAAGTAGCCTTGCCAGCTGCAGAAAAAAATGGGACAGGAAGGCAGGTATTGGCGACTGCAAGGCCTGGCTACAACTGTCCAAAGGTAAGTACAGTACCTACAGTACATACCTAGTAGTAGGGCAACTCCACCCCCACCCCCATCCCCAGCCTAGCTTACCTGTGCATTCTGGAGTGGGTGGGATCTTAATTAGAACTTATTTTGGGTGTAGGGCTTATATTGGATGCATGTGTAAAAATCAACCTAAGACTTGCTTTCACGGTAGGTCGTATTTTCAGGGAAACAGGGTAGTGAGGCATGGTGGTACAGTGGTTAGAGTATAGTACACCAAGCTACTTCTGCTGACTGCCGGCTGCTGCCTGAAATTTGGCAGTTTAAATCTCACCAGGCTCAAGGTTGACTCAGCCTTCCATCCTTCCAAGGTGGGTAAAAGGGGACCAGATTGTTGGGGGAAATAGGCTGACTCTATAAACTGCTCATACATCATACAACAACATCCAGTGATGAACATTATACATTAAAAATTGTCTGATTTAATCTACCTATTTTGAATTCTGCAAACCATTTCTTAGTTTCCTAGAGTAATATTACAGCTAACTACTCTTGGGAACTAAACCATTTTTTAAAAATTGTAAAAATACTCACCCCTTGCAAACTGCACTAAGAATTATTCACATTTTTTTTCAAGATCTTTGTGGAATTCACCATCAAGCTCATACTGGTACAATCAAATCTATCAAATTTTTATTCCTTAGTTCTGTGATGGCAAACCTATGGCACGCGAGCCCCAGCCAAACTTATAGATACAGATACAGATAATCAGAGTTGGAAGGGACCTTGTAGGTCATCTAGTCCAACCCCCCACCCAAGCAGGAGACCCTACACCATTTCTGACAAATAGCAGACCAATCTCTTCTTGAAAGTCTCAACTGATGGCGCTCCCACAACTTCTGAGAGCAAGCTATTCCATTGGTTGGTTGTTCTCACTGTCAGAAAGTTTCTCCTTGTTTCCAGGTTAAATCTCTCCTTGTTTAGTTTCCATCCATTATTCCTTGTCTGGCCTACAGGAACTTTAGAAAATAGCTTGACCCCTTCCTCCCTGTGGCAGCCCCTCAAATATTGGAAGACTGCTATCATGTCGACCCTGGTCCTTCTCTTTACTAGATTAGCCAAACCCAGTTCTTGCAACCGTTCGTCGTATGTTTTAGCCTCCAGTCCCCTAATCATCCTGGTTGCTCTTCTCTGTACTTTTTCTAGAGTTTCAACATCTTTTTTATAATGTGGTGACCAAAACTGGATGCAGTACTCTAGGTGTGGTCTTACTAAGGCTTTATAGAGTGGTATTAGTACTTCCCTTGATCTTGATTGTATCCCTCTGTTAATACAATTTAGGATTGCATTAGCTTTTTTTGGTGGCTGCTGCACACTGCTGGCTCATATTTAGCTGGTTGTCCACTAAGACTCCAAGATCCCTCTCACAGTTACTGCTATTGAGCCTGGTTTCACCCAGTCTATATGTGTACTTTTGGTTTTTCTTGCCTAAGTGTAGGACTTTACTTTTCTCTATATTGAATTTCATTTTATTAGATATGGCCCAGTGCTCTAGTCTGTCAAGATCCATCTGTATCTTGAGCCTATCTTCTTGGGTGTTAGCTATTCCTGCCAGCTTAGCATCATCTGCAAATTTGGTAAGTTCCCCTTCTATTCCCTCATCTAAGTCGCTAATGAGATATTGAAGAGTACTTAATGAAGATATTGAAGATATTGAAGAGAACTTACCTGCACTATGCATGAACATGGCTCCCCGCTGATGTTTGGCCCATTTTTGCCCTCCCAGAGGCTCGAGGGAAGCCTCTGCAGCCTTGGGAGGCTGAAAAATGGGCCTTCCAGAAATACAGGAAGTGCCAAAACGGAGCCGTTTTCAGCCTCCCAAGGCTCCAGAGGCTTTCCTTGAGCCTCCAAGGGGGGGCGAAAACTGCCTCTCCAAGCTCCAGAGGCCATCCCGAGGCTGCAGAGGTTTCCCCATGCAAAGATATGGACAGGGTGCATTGTATTGTGGGTGCCGGCATGCCCACACGTGTGCTATCGTGTGCGTGAGTGCTTTTGGCACCCCACAACAAAAAGGTTCGCCATCACTGCCCTAGTTTATTTTTGCCAGGTGGTATTTTTACCACTTAACAATATACATAAAACATATTCAAGATGTCCCAAAGGTGCTTTTTGAAGAGGAAGTTGGATTTTCTTGTTGCTTTTTTTTCCCTCTTGAAAAGACACTTTGGGAGCAACCATGACTTGGAAGACTGAACATCTCCATAGATGTAGCATATTTAGAAAATTTCCATGATCTCTCTGTGCTATTATTTTATATTTTTCTGTTAGTCATAGGCATTCTTTTAAATTGAAAAAATTGTGCTGATTTTGCTTATAAATCAGAGGCAAAGCAAATGCATCTGTTAAATACATTAACCCTTAACTTAATTTTTGGGAAGCCTTCTCTTCTTGCCTTCTCATGGATGTATCCTCTGTGCAGTTTTGCTGCCTTCTTCTTCTATATTTTTTTTCTGAGCAATGATGATGGAAGCCACCTCTTATAAACAATGAACCTAGTTACTGTTTTGAAGTATAATAAGGTGCAGCACATATTCAAGACTGAAGATCCTACAGAGACTTCTCAAGGAGCAAAGAAGCCTATTGTGAATTGCAAGAAATATTTGTCATGTATTCTCTGTCTGCTTCCTCCATAGATGTCAAACCCAAAGTCAGACTAAAACATTGTGTGTGTATTTCTCATGTATTGTGGTTTATTTTGTTGGGGATTATCAGATGTTTTGGTTCCTGATTCATCATCATCTTTTAATGACCCCATAATCCCTTGCAGGGTGGAGTCTGGGCATCTGAATGGAGCTGATTGTTTACTGGCCAGATGCCCTTCCTGTTGCCAATGCAGAGTTTTGTTCAGCAGATATATTTTCATTGTGCCCAGAGAGAGAAATAGCTATCTCTACCTAGGATCAAACTCACAGCCTCCTGATTGTGAAGCAAGAGCTCCATTTCTAGGCCACTACACCACTCTTAGTTCCTGATTAACATATCCTCTATGTATTCTCAAGTTCCCTTGTAAAACCATCTCAGTGTGCATTCATTACATCTGAAAACAGCACAGCTTAACAAAATAAAAGTTAAACCTGAATATTTACTTCGAGGTCCCATCAATCACAAATCACCTCAATTTCTTGCAAAGTCCAACCCATCGCCTCAGTTCAGCCCTCAAAGCTTCCTGTACTTGTTTGTTCTTCAAACAATATATGAATGGGATCAAAAGTGGAGCCATGACAATATTCAAAAGAGCCGTTATTTTGTTGAAATCTAATTTGCTGCTGCTTCTGGGTCTTATGTACATGAAAATACAACTGCTGTATGTAATGGAGATCACACTCATGTGTGAGGCACAAGTGGAGAAAGTCTTCTTCCTTCCAGTAGTTGATGGGATTCTCAAAATGGTAGATATGATTTTGATGTAAGACACAACATTGATAATTAAGGTCCCAAGCAAAGAGAATATGGCAATCACAAAATCAATCAGTTCTAGGAGGCCAGTGTCCACACATGATAGTTTGATTAGGGGTCCATTGTCACAAAAGAAATGATTGATGATGTTGTGAGGACCACAAAATGGCATTTGAAATAAAAGAATGGCTGGAACTAGAATGAGTGACAAACCTCCAGCCAAACAACAAAGTACCAATAAGGAGCAGATTTGTTCATTCATGATGGTTGGATAGTGAAGAGGGTTACAAATGGCTATGTATCGATCAACAGACATTGTGGCCAGTAGAAGGAACTCAGTGGTGCCAAGAAAAAAGTAGAGGAACATCTGTGTGAAGCAACCAGCTAAAGATATGCTTTTTCTGCCAGTGGCCATGTTGGCCAGTGTTTTAGGAATGATGGTACTCACATACCCAATCTCTATCCATGCCATATGTCGGAGGAAAAAATACATTGGGCTATACAGTTGGGCATTCACCAGTGTGATAATAATAATCAACATGTTGCCTATCAATGTTAAAAAGTAAATCACAAGCAGGATGAGAAAAAGGCCAATGGCAAATTGATGGTTGTTGGTCAGTCCTAACAATATGAACTCTCTCGCTGTGGTGCTGTTTTCCATTTAGTTCAATCCTAAAAATGGAATGAAATGATAAGAGATGAGTCCAACTTCATTTTCATTTCAATCACACATTTCAAATAAACACAATTTCACCAGCTTTGATTCTTTGTAGACCATCAAATGGTTGGTCTAAGAGGCAAAGACAAAGATGGGGGGGGGGTCAACCTATTATCCAAAGTACCTGAAGACAGAAGAAGAAGCAATGGATGAAAACTAAGCAAGGAGAGAAGCAACCTAGAATTAAGGTGAAATTTCCTGACAGTGAGAACCATTAATTAGTGGAATGACTTGCTTTCAGAAGTTGTGCGTGCTCCAACACTGGAAGTTTTTAAAAAGAGATTGGACAATCATTTGTCTGAAATGGTATTGGGTTTCCTAGAAGACCTCCAAGGTCCCTTCCAACATGGCTATTTTGTTAATCTTTGATATAATAAGAAATTATTGTTTGAATCATATTAAGAGCAACTGCGTCCTCTTCGCTGACGATGTAAAGCTATTCAACACCACAGACAATACTGCTACACTTCAAAAAGATCTTGACTATGTATCAGAATGGTCAAACAAATGGCAACTTCAAATCTCAACAAATAAATGCTCTGTCCTACATATTGGCAAAAAAAATCAGAAAATAAAATACAAGCTGAATAGTCAAGACCTTGTTGATGATCCAAGCTCTGTAAAGGACCTTGGAATATTCATCTCTAATGATCTAAGTGCTAGAGCCCACTGTAACTACATAGCCAAAAAGGCGTTAAGAGTTGTTAACCTAATCCTATGTAACTTTTTCTCTGGTAATATCACACTACTAACTAGAGCATACAAAACATTTGCTAGACCAATACTTGAATACAGCTCATCAGTTTGGAACTCACATCACATATGTGATATTAGCACAGTTGAGAAAGTCCAGAAATATTTCACAAGAAGAGTTCTCCATTCCTCTACTTGCTGTAGAATACCTTATGCCACCAGACTTGAAATTCTAGACCTAGAAAACCTTGAATTACAATGTCTTCGGTCTGATCTAAGTATGGTATATAAAATCATACATTGCAATGACTTACCTGTCAATGAATAATTCAGCTTCAACCATAACAACACAAGAGCACACAATAGATACAAACTCAAGGTTAACTGCACCAAACTTGATTGCAGGAAATACGACTTCAGCAACAGAGTGGTCAATGTTTGGAATACTCTACCTGACTCTGTGGTTTCTTCCCCAGACCCCAAAAACTTTAACCTTAGACTGTCTACTATTGACCTCACCCCTTTCCTAAGAGGTCTGTATGGGCGTGCATAAGCGCACCAACGTGCCTACCATCCCTGTCCTATTGTTTCTTTTATTTTTCTTATACGTACCCATTTCATGTATTCATAACTATGTATATACTTATACCTATTATCTTGTAAGCGATTGACAAATCAAAATAAATAAAAATAAAATAAAGATACTTCTAGTCATTAGTCTAAGAGACTCTAAGAAGGCACAGAGTATTCTCACCAGTCCAAGACTGTGTATACTTCTAGTCATGGAAAAATCTATTTTTTGCAACGGTAAAGTATTTATCTATTTTCTATTTGCTCATTACTCCCTTCCCATCTCACCTGAGAAACTCATTTTTCTTTTTCAGTCAGAAGAAAACTCAGACAGATCTTTCAACTTTTCATACTGCAATTAAGTGTCCTGTTGAATAGGAAGGCAATTTCAGACACATATATTCCATCCACTTTTTCAATGTGTGGTTGATGTGACACAAGTGTAGCATTTCTGAGGAAAAAGACTTCCAGTAATTTTGTATCTTCTATAATGGTCAGCAGATATTAAACAGCTTTTTACTTATACTATGCTAAATAGGTTTTTTTTTTTTTACTAATCTTGTGTTTCAAATTGATAATGTTCCATTTTCCTGAAGAAAAGGTGATTCTATCATTCCTCTCAATGGAGCTACATTCACACAGAATAGCTGGAAGGATCAGTTACTCTGGGATTAAACATTATCTTCCTGAACCAAAATAATTTTTGAGAGCTTCCTTAAACAGGCTGACACTTGTGATCACTATTTTTGGTAATTGTTAAACAAGGACAAATTATGGGGGAAAATATAAGGAAAAAATGTGTTCCCAAATTGGAATGATCTCCATTATACACTAATTAAGTAGGTTTCATCAACTCATTTTTATCTCCTAGTGTCCACATAGAGTTTTCCCCCCAGGATGATCTGTCCATAACTTGTCCTCCAACTCTTCCAGTGATGTATTCATCATTGCTATAACTGAGTCTGTCCACCTTGCTTCTGCTCATCCTATTCTTTTGATTCTTTCCACCATTCTGAGCATTAGATCTGTCTCCAGAGACCTAGAAAAGCCATCAGTTGTCTATTTTCTTTCTTCCCTATGGTCCTCCATTCTTAGGTTAACAGAAGAGAATAACAGAGCTGGATGGGACCACTTCTAGTCTAATCCCCTGTTCCAGGAGACACCATACCATTCCAGACAAATGGCTCCCCAGCCTCTTCTTTAAAAGCCTCCAGTGATGGAGCACTGGAGGAACACTGGATGGAGCACCCACAATTCCTGAAGGCCATTTCATTGGTTAACAGTTCCACTGATCTCCCAGGGAACTCAAAGTAACAGAGATAATGTTCCTTGAATCCCCTTCCTAATTTTGTAAGGTCCCTTTATGACAACACCTTTGTGCTGGTTAATCCCTCCTTAGCATCTTGTCATGAGGATGAAGTGTCAAGATGAATTCAACACAAAACTAATCCAGGGTTGTTGTTGTTGTTGTTGTTGTTGTTGTTGTTATTATTATTATTATTATTATTATTATTATTATTATTATTATTATTATTATTATTATTATTATTATTATTTCTCTGACAAAGTACTCCTAATCCAGATATGTCAGTCATGCAAGCACAACCTGTGTGCTTATAAACCAGGATCAAAAGACACTTGATTCAGAGTATGTTCCAATGGATTCTGCAGAGCATATTCCCCTATGATGAGTTATATAAATTTAATGAGTAAAACAAAATTTGCTTGAAGTTTATTTCTAAACCACTCCTAAACATTACACGTTAGAGATCCTTTACCTACTGCAACAATTTGAAATGCTGCAATCTGTCTCTTGATTTTCAGAGCAGCATTGAAACGTTTCCAAAATACTCACCATTTCCAATGTACATTAAAATATTCATAACACTTAACAAACTCTATGCTATGTCATTATCTTCTTTCTGCCAGTAAAACCATCTTCTACGGTTGTTAGACTGGTTTGAATATGTTGATAAATAAATTTAAAAACAAGGAAAAATAATCCATCAAAACTTTACTTCCAAATTCAAATCTGGGAAAAGATAATATTCAGCATCCAGAGTGCCTTTCAGAAGATTCTTGATTCACATATTTATACAGGACAATTTTTTCTGCATAGCTTTTCATGGCAATCAGCAAAGAAGTAATTTCTTTTAAACGATGAAGCCAGTTATTGTTTTGAAGCATATGGAATAAGTGGCATTCAAAATTGGCTTGCAAAGATCCCTCAGGGACTCCACAAGAAGTTGCAAAACACATTGCAGGAGAATCTGTATCAGGAATTCTACAGTATTTCTGCTTCATCTATTGATGTCAAACCCAAAGGGGGAAAAATCATTGTATGCATGTCCCTCCTGTATTGGGCTTTCATGCAATACACCATACAAGTTTGGTTGTGGTTGGTTCTGCCTTCACATCTGTTAACTCAACGTCTGTGATGGCTAAACCAAGATATAGGCTTTCTTCTCTTTTGAAGCACCCAATGCAAAAGGTGTTAGCTTGTTCAGTTATCATGATAGGTAAATTTCCCCATGCTTTCATCCCAAAGGTCCATGGTGGGATTCCAAATTTTTCCCTACCTACTCTATGAAAGAGTGCTTTGTGTGCACATGAAGCACTCAAAAACTGCTCTCTGTGTAAGCGCGAGTGAGGTGAGCTTTTTTTTTTAGCTCAGCTGAGATGTGGCAATCCGCTCTGCTGTGTGAATCAGCTGAACTAAACAATAATGGAATATAGGACAAAAAAGGGCGAGGGCGGGTGGGCGGGGCCAGCCAGAGGTGGTATTTTCCAGTTCTCAGAACTACTCAAAATTTCAGCAACCGGTACACCAGAACCAGTCTGAACCATCTGAATACCACCTCTGCCAAAGGTGCTTTTTTAAAAAAGTAACTAAACTTTCTTTGTTTTTGCTTGAAAATGTTTTGCTTCTCCTCCAAGAAGCTTCTTCAGATCTGACTAAATGGTGGAGAATTGAAGGGTTTATAAACCTGGCAGTCATCTGGTCATTAGCACTCTCTCTGAGAGTTGTTGAGGCCAGTTGGAGGTTTATCTGTGCTCTCAGGGTCACCTGAATAGTGCAATAGTGCAATAGTTTTAATCACACCAAATCAATTCTCTAGTAAAATACCAATCTCTCTCTTGACCATTCATGATTCCCAATCATTCCACCTACTTCTTTCATCCCATCCACCCATATGCCTGATGGTTTTTTTCCTACAGAGTTTAAGGAAGGAATAGATCTTCTAGGATGCACTGGGACACTCCTGTTATGAGGTTGACACAAAGGATTGGAGAAATTGTGAAACGTAATGCTGTGTTCAACTATGGATGGTGTAGGACCCACCTAGAATTTCACAACATATATATGTTTGATGTATAGTATATACTGTATGTATATGTGTCTGTGTATGTATAAAGGTAAAGGTTCCCCTTGCACATACGCACCTGTTCGCTGGAACCGGTTGTTAACATTCTAAACAGTTCGGAGAACCAGTTGTTAGAATAAATTACTGGCCTAATCCTGTAAGGAAGGCAGGAAGGAAACATTCTGGTGTTACTTACAGAAACTGTGTCAGCCTTCAAGAATTTCTCCCTTTGCTTTGCATCTTTTGGCTGTCATGAGTAATGGGGGGAGGAGGGGGGATTTGGTTATGGGAAGTGAGCTGGAGGTGTTACAAAAT